ATGGTCTACCCATTGCTGCTACTGTTGTGCCATTTGCTCATGTCTTGGACGCCTCCTCGTGGCGACCGCTGGGTGGGATTTGGGTTACGACATTTTCCCTGCTAAGATCCAGGACACCAACCCGCGTGAGTCGGTGAACTGACCATGTGCTAGACCCGCTGAATTCAGGGTGTTTATTTAAGCGAAGGCTTTGGCTGAGGACCCGAGTCGTCCTCCTTTCAGGTGTGGGCGCCCTGTCAGCATCCTAGTCCATCCTCTTCGGAGGTTAGGAAGTGATCAATGGCTCGCTTCCCGTAAAACCTAGCGGTGGTAGACAACAGGTCGACGGGTTATTAGCCCACAGCTCGATTGGCGTAGGGCACTAGCGCCACGCATTGTCTCTGACGGTGGGAGGGCACCTCCGGCTGTTCAATGGTGTGCTACTGCCCGCCTCAAGCTAGGCGGCCCCTGGTCAAATTGGTGCAAACCCGCCAATATCCACCTGCGTCTGACCGTGGTCGCAGGTGGTTATCCACTAGAGTCGCAAAACATATATGAATCATCCCAGTACCTCTAAGGCTGCGTGCGACGGCCGTCAAGCAGATCCCAATCTGTCTCTGCAATCACCTTCCCGGGCTGGATCTGCTACCCACAGCCGTGTGGGTCAGGCTATTGAGCCAAAGGCTCCGGGTAGATTCCCCCAAGGAAAACTCTAAACCACCCACTGTCTTGTGGGTTAAGCTATTGAGCCAAAGGCTCCGGGTGGAGTCCTACAAGCAAATTTCCAAAGCACAAGCGCTACCTCGCGTACAATTGCACACCAACGCAATCCAATGCCTGCAGACGAAGCACTCAGCATCGGGTGCTGGAACGTGCACACACTACTGGACCGGAACCTAAGTGAACGCCCCGAGCGACGCACTGCGCTGGTCGCGATGAAACTGGCGTGCTACTACCTCGCTATCGCGGTCCTCAGTGAGACTCGGCTCGCTGAGCAAGGTAATTTTGCATGAAGCAGGTGCCGGCTACACATTCTACTTGGTGGGCAACGCTGCCTCTGCACCATGTGAACATGCGAGCGGACTTGCAATATCCGATCGCCTAAATGGCCTGCTGGTGGGTGAACCAACAGGCATCAGCGTGCGACTGGGGACTGTTCGCCTGCGACTCGGAAGAGGTAAGTTTGCCACGTTTATAAGCATGTACGGTCCGAGCATGTGTTATCCTGATGACATGCGTGCTCAATTCTACACTCAGCTATCCTCCGTGCTACGGTCTGTGTCGAGGAGCGACCGACTATTTCTGCTGGGTGATTTCAACGCGCACGTTGAGCGTGATGCATCGGTGTGGACAGATGTTATGGGTTCGTATGGCATTGGTTCAGCGAATGCGAAAGGTGACTGGCTGCTTTTACTGTGTGTCACTTACGGCCTGACGCTCACGAACACTCGGTTTGCACTGAGTGCCAGTGATAGAGCAACTTGGGCGCACCCACGGAGTGGTCACGCTCACTTGCTCGACTATGCCATCGTACGTCAGCGTGATATGCGTGAAATGCGCATGACACGTGTACTGTCTGGAGCTGAACGTGACACTGCTCACAAATTGGTGCAGAACAGACTGTACATATGTTTTGGTAATTCTATGTATTGCGCTCCCGCCGTGAATCGGCGTACATTTAACCATCTCTGCCGCGGTACTGTGGCGAAACGTATTGGGATGGAGAAGGCGCTGGCTGCAAGCCTGTGTAATATGAACTGCGTAGCCACAGTGGGCGACCTGTGGTACCATATTCGAGACCAGGTGACAGCTGCGGCCAAAGAGACCATCGGGCGCGCAAACTGTAATCGGCCTGACTGGTTTGCTTAGAACAATACGACGATTGGCGCATCGGTGTCTGAGAAGAATGCAGCATTTGCTGCACATGTGGCAGACCCGAGTGACTTGGGGAAGAATAGTCAGTTTCGCAACCTTTGACAGCGACTAACCCGTGAGCTCCGTCGCATTAAAAATGCATAGTGGACGGAGAAGGTGAAGCAGATGGAATGCTACGCCGAATGCCACCAACAAAAGGTATTATTTGACTCCTTGAAGGCGGTGTATGGACAGAGGTTGTAGCGCCTGAGGATGCTAATCGATGGGAGCTCAGGCGCTACCTGCACAGACTGCAAACATAATGCAGATCTGGATAAAGAAATGTGACTTTCTCCTGAACAACCGTTCAGAAATCGACTGGCCTACTTTGATCGGTTTGAAGCGACACGATGTGAAGGTGAGTCTGGCGGACACGACTACACTTGATGAAAAACGGAGAACACTTGCTCAGCTGCAAAATGGCAAGTGTGCCGGTGCAGACGGGATCCCACCTGAAATATTGAAACATGGTGGATCTGCGTTGGTGACTGCGCTGCACCACTTGGTGCAACGCGTATGGATTGAGAAGGAGGTGCCTCCTGAGCTGAAGGACGCCCTTGCGCTACCATTGTACAAGGGTACAGGGAGCAAGGCAAACTGCACGAATTATCATGGCATTAACTTGCCGAGTTGTGTGGGCAAGGTGATTGCCTGAGTCCCGCTCAACCGCCTCGTCAGTCAGGTTGTGTAACTTAGCGTGGCTGAAGATCAGTGTGGATTCCCTTCAGGTCACAACACTATAGATATGGTGTTTGCGGCTCGCCAGATGCAGGAGAAGTGCAGAGAAGGACATCAGCTTTGGTACTCGCTGTTTGTTGATTTTACCAAGTCATTTGATCCGGTGAACCGCTAGGCATTGTGGCTGGATTTGGGTAAACTTGGTTGACCGCGTAAGTTTGTAAGTTTAATTGAATGCCTGCACAGTGTTATGCAGGCGAGGGTGCAGCTGTGGAGAGACCTTGAATGACTTTGCAGTTATCTCTGGTGTGAAGCAAGGCTGTCTCACCTCCTGCCCCGTTGACTATGTATCTGCATGCAATGCTGTCTGGTGCTTTTGATGCGGTTTGTACTTACAGTCCTTGTAAGGAGCACCGTATGAATGGTGGGTTGCTGAACATCTGTCGTTTCAATGCGAGATCACTAGTCTGTGAGACAAGTATGCGTAGGTTGCTGTTTGCTGACGACTGTGCGTTATTTGCACACAACGCAAATGAGTTGCAGCACATGGCTAGTGCGCTGGCATAGAAAGCGGCCAATTTGGAGCTCACCATCAACACAAGCAAAACTGTCTGCCTCTTTCAGCCTTCACCGGAGGTGCAATGTGCAATGGTGCCGCGAAGCAGCATTGGTGCTGGAGTATTGGCAACCACCCGCTTCTACAACCTTTGGAGTGTGATATCGACTGACCAGCAGCTACACAGGGAGCCTCGTATCCGCGTGTCGAAGGCAGCGGCGGCATTTGGGAAGTTTGAATACTGAGTGTGGAACAACCATCAGCTTACCATTGGCACGAAGCTGATGGTGTACAAATCCATGGTGCTGTCCGTTCTTCTATCCGGCAATGAAACGTGGACGATGTACCGGCGAGATGTGCGATATCTCGAACGGTTCCATCTACAGTGTTTGTGACGGATTCTGTGCATCGGTTGATGTGAAAGTTGCGGACACGGAAGTGCTGCGTCGAAGTGGAATGTATGCGGTGGACTGCATACTTCTGTTGAGACACCTGAGATGGCTCGGTCATGTGTGGCGTATGGATTCGACTCGGATACCGAAACAACTCTTATCCGGTCAGCTGAGTATTGGGAAGCCGCTTGTGGGGAAACCGAAGCTTCGTTACCAGGACATGATCAAAGCGAGCCTCTTACGTTCTAATCTTGATTGCAGATCATGGGAATCAAAGGCGGTTGATCAGCATGCGTGGCGCGATCTGATCACGAAGGCAGTTGCCAAGGCGCGGGAGAAAGCCCTGGTGCATGCAGAGAAGAAGCATCAAGTGTGGAGGCGACAAGCTCCGGTGGGCTGTACTCCATCGACGTCGAGCGCATGGTGCTGTAGCATATGCGGTCGCGAGTGCCTGAGTCCGGCAGGCCAAATGAGCCATGAGCGAGGCTACTCGCACCATCATTGAAGTGACGACGGGTCCTGCACAGAACGTAGGCAGAACCGGCGCAGCGTTTGTAGGTACGCTGCATTCCATTTAATAACCGCTTGCTTGCATGCTGTCTCTTTATTTCTGGTGGGTGGTTGGCTATATTGTCTCAATAATATCAACACGATCTATCTTCTTTTAAGTAACATACGTCGATCAGGTTAATATTATTTAACTTTAATAACATTTTTGCACTTGTAACCTTTTCTTAAAATATATTTTCTGACTTCGTGAACCTATAGCGGATAAAGTGGCAACCAATTTATTTCATTTGCTCATTTATTGTAGAGTTATATCGTCATGTCTCTATGCACTAATCGATTTACTTTATTTGATATTGTCCTTACAAGTAATTGCTTGTTGCTTGATAACCCCGGTGTGGCTGCGCTTGATGTGCGTGCTGACAAGGTGCCTACCTGTCTATTACCCACTGCCTTGTCCCTACTGGCTCCAGGAGACAGCTGGTCGTTGCTGGAGGGGACGGGGTGCACGGTCCTTGTGGCCTTGCTAGACTCAAAGAGTGGTTCCATGCACCCAGTGTGGAGCGGACTACGGTCCAGCCACCACCTTGTATGCTATTGACTCCCAAATACAGCGTGCTTGTGTTTACCAATGAAGGAGTGTGGGTCGGCTCCGTTGATGAAACCTGGCTTCCAACCACATGGCTCCCGGTCTTATTCCTTCGGATTTACACTGGATATGGGGTGTGTGATTGGAGCTTTGGGTTGTGCAGCGCAAGCCGCCCGTGGTCACTCTGTAGGCGCAGGCATCCTCTGGCTGGCCACAGTGACAAGCAAATCCGAAACCGGATGCCGCCAACCATGTTCTTTCAGTAGTTATACCATTCCCCTGTTGTTCTCTGGACTTCTTCAGGTGAGGCGTACTCATCTTGTGCGCATACAAAGAGTTATTTCTTGATGATCTGGCCAAAAGTATTTTGACGTAAGCGTTAACTTTCCATCCAGCATTCTAAACCCCATCTCTCGCCCCATACATTCGGTTTTAGCCAGCGCGACAAATAATTTTTACACCCAGTCGACATACAGGGTTTTGATATTTCATAAATCGGTGGGTCGCAGTTCCCTCGGGCTCACAATGTCTCGCTTGTTTTTGACCCAAAAGTAATGATGCATCAACTGCTAGACCGTTAGCTTGAATGAAATCGGTCTGTTCTTGTTTCACTTGTCGTTATGCATCAGTTTTCTACGGAATATGTCATAGTAGATCCGCAGTTTTAGTGTGAATTGCTGAAAATGCTCGCACGCATGTGTATAAGAAGTATCGCATATTACCGTGTATAAGAAGAGGAAGTTTGTACCTCTTTTCAAGTCTGTAGGAGGAGGGTCGGCTTATACAAAGGCCATGCGCAATTTGAAATATCACATGCAAAATCCACCCAGAAATGCACTGCACATCTATGTCCCTATCTTGTTTTAAGGTCTCAAACAACATACTCTGAAGAAAATTTCACTTTCTGAGAAGTAAGTCTAGTTAGCGTCACTGATTCAGACCGAGTCTTGTAACTTGCGTGAAACAAAAGAAACCCCCACAGATCAAAGTCAAATGCGCACAGAAACGAAACAAATTGACTTGTTCACGAAGTTAAGTGCGCAATTTTCCACAAGCCACTGTGTTTTGCATCCTAACAATCTCAGATACACTCAAATCAGTGTTGTTTGGTGTCGCGGAATATTTGTTGCTGTCGCTGGTTTCACGCCACTCACACGTCCCTTTATTGGTTGAGACCTGCAAAATCAACAGAGCACACGAAGGTGATTCGAGCTGTATCAGTGTGTTTTCGTCCCACTTCGGCGTATTTTGTGTTCGCCAATATACTACTCGTCCACTGCTTTGAGTTTTGGCTCGCAAGGCGCAACATAGGAGCTGCTAAGTCGTAACTCAGAAGACACAATACATGTCTTCGCACAACTCGCCTTTGACAGACGGTAGCCCTGGCGGGGATTTGAAGTGACTATAGGTAGACACATAATATTTCACTCGAAAATTCTGGGTATATTGCACTTCTGACTTTCCCGACGGATGGCAGTAACAGAAAGATCCTGAGTACACAGAATCGATTACCATCACACACAATAAGATTGGAAAAAGACATGACGGAACAGCACGTACCGTTTGATTTTATAGGTTCACATATCCAAACGCTGCACAGTGGTAGTAAAATTACTCGAAAGCTTCGAAACTAGAATCCGAGTCAGAATCTCCTAACATTTTCTGTTACTGGTCGTCTGTCACTGGTATCTCAGGATGAAAACCGTCATCTCGGCAGTTAAAATAGTTGTCTGACGGCTTTAAGCTCCATTAAATGCCATCATAACACATTAGGTCGCCAAAACTGACCAATAGTAGAGCAGCTTTTGCTTAAGCACACTCGAGTGAGAGCAGGTTGTGATGAAGTAAACTTTGTGAGAAACAATTTGGTTTCCCCTTTTGCTGCTTTTTTGGGTCGGATAATATACGGACTTACGATTTTGGACAAATTTGACCTTAGAAGGTCAAATTGTCGGCTTACACACGGTAATATACAGTACTTTCGTGTTTTATTGAGGTTTCGGCAAACTTCTGTTCAGAGTGGATCCTGATTTGTTTTCCTTCAATAGGCGGGCCTGTGTAAACAAACTGACCATTATTTAGGAATCTTTATACTTGAGCTTCAGGAGAATCTGTTGCTTACTTGTTGCTGCGGTTGTGGTGCTTTCAGTCTGACAGTCTAAAAACCTTTGGATTATGCTTTGTGGGTATTCTTTAAACCGCATGAACGTAACTACGTGACACTGAGTTTACGCACATGCCATAATCACGCTGAGGCCATAGTTCTGCTTTCAGGTAACGTGGGTAAAGTAATCGTTGAGGGCACGGCTATTCGTAGGTTTAATGGCCTGGTTGCCTCAATATTCTTTGTTGGCACGCAGCATGTACTCGTGGTCAATACACGTGCGCAGACTTCTGTTCACTTAAAGAAGGCTGTCTAGTCTGGAGATCACCGCATGGGTTGAATAGATCTTGGAGTCAAAAGCCAATCAGCGTCTTAGGACCGCAATTCCTTTCCGAAATTAGTAGTTACACATTTCTAACTATGATAACCTTTTGGCATTTAGTCGAAAACTGTATGACAAACAAAGAGCCAGAAATGCTAAGCGTATATAAAGTTCGCTTAATACTGCATGGTCACATTTAAGCGAATTAGCGCGATTTATGCTTCTTCAAGTGCAGTAAAGGGGTGTCATAAAACTAATCTTGTGTTAATCAGCCGAATATTACACTTTATATAACGGTTCTTTTGTCTTTTCGACGCATCCTATAAACACCGGAAACTTACGTTTTATGCGAGGCCGCGATATAATAGTGTGTAATTGGTTGGGACATGTCCTGGCAGACGCCGAGGTGTCTGGAGTCGAAAACATCACATTCGCGGGAGAGAAGAAATGCAGTGAAACCTGTGTGAAATTTTGCGTAGAATAAAGAACATGGAAAATAATTGACTGGGTAGAAGGATGTGAAACATTATAGCTAACGGTGGAGAGAAGTGAATTTAATATAGCTGGTAGTTGCATTATCAGTATCGTTTCCATAATTCCGATTAAGTTAGGTATAGAACCACTATAGCTGCAGCTACTAATAACAGTGGCACTACTGCAAATGTAAACGCTACTTATAGTAATACTACTGGAAAATAATATTGCTAATATTACAACACCAACAACAGCTTCTAAGGGGTTGCTTGGGTCTGATTTCTACCAGCTACTGCTGCTTAATTGCTATCAATCCGACACTGAAGATGTCAGCTCGAAATGTAACGAAACTTTTGCAATCAAGTTGCCCAGCTCGAAGAAGTCCACAACAACTGGACTTCTACTATTAACAACGTTGCTGTCAGTACGTCCACTGATAATATTACTAGCATTACCAAAACTACTATTATTCACACAAATACTGCTGCTAATACTACTGCTACTACAACAGTTACCACTACTGTTACTACAGCTAAAACTACTGCAACTACTACTATTGCAACTAGTACAACAATAACAACTACCACTAGTGTCACTACCATCACTGCCACGGCTACAACAACACCACCACCACCACCACACCAACAACAAAAATACTAATACTGCTACACTACCACAACTACTAATACTACTACTGCTACCACTACTATTATAACTAAAACTACTACTGCTGCTGCTACTACTACTACTACTACCATTACTACTACTACTGCTATTACTGCTACTAGTACTAACTAATACTAACGAGCACTACTACTATTACTACAACAACAACAACTACTACTGCAACTATTAATACTACTACAACTACAACAATAACTACTACTACTGCTACTACTACTACTACTACCACTACAGCTGTTACTGCTACTACTACTATCACTACTACTACGACTACTACTGCTGTTACTACTACTATTGCCACCACTAATAACACTACCGCTATTACTACTACTACTACTAGTACTATCACTAATATTACGGTTACTACTACTACTGCTACTACCACCACTATTACCACTACTACCGCTACCACTGCTACTACTACAACTACTACTGCTACAACACCACTAACAACAACAACCACAACAACAACAACAACAACAACAACTACTACTACTACTACTACTACTAGTACTACTGCTACTACTACTACTACTACTGCAATTACTTCCACTACCTAATACTATTACTACTGTTACTTCCAGTAGTACTACTAGTTACTACTTCTACTACTATACCACTAGTACTACTACTACTACTACTACTACTACTACTACTGCTACCACTACTGCTACTACTACTCGTAATAGGACTACTACAACATTCTACTGACACTACTACTACTACTACTATTACTACTGATATTGCTCCACTTAGTGGCCAACACAAATGTGAGGATAATACTCCGCTTGCTGCAAATAGGGCTGAAGCGGTGAATGATCAAGTGATTACTGAAATTAACAAGGAATCACATGAATATGCGGGCCCCTCTGTTGCATTAGATGCTGTGTCTAATAGAACACCTAATTCTCGCCCTTCGAAGCTAAGATCAACGTCAGATGCAAAATTGGTTACTGGAGGACCTCCACTATGCCACAATTTCACGGCTAAGCATGATGAGCCGACTAAGCCCAAAACCACTACGGTCCACGAAACTGGTGATGTGCGTGGTGCTTCCTCTTGGATAATGAGTTCTGGCAGTCATATGGGTTTCCTAATACTCTTTCCTGTATGCGAAGTGACAACAATGGGGATCAGCGAATAACAACTGCATTACCAGCTAAATCCCAGTGGTATGCCAAACCGCTACTTCAAGCCTCGAACTGTCACGTCTCGCCTATAGTCTACTCTGGCCATTGTCCAAGCATATCAAGAATATCGATGTATCCGGTAAACTTGATCGATAGTAAAAGGACGGTTGACCTAGCTTTTTTCGCAAGCATCATTGGACGACTCTGTATCGTCATTTTGTTTAGATAGACGTACATCTATTAGTCATAAAGTTATGAAAGACGCGCCGTTATCATTGCACCTTACACACGGTGTAATTAGGTACCAAGATTTTCCGATTCCATCAACGAACCACATGGATTATGCTGATGTTGGTGTATGGATTGACACCAGTGTGCCTCCACCGCGTATAGTGACCCCTTGTATATCGAGCGCAAGTAAGCGGATTTTACCCATAGAAGGAAATAACAGCAATCCACTGAATCCTATCAATGCGTTACGTAATCAACAGCCTATTAGTGACCTGATGCATAGGATACAACCTAACTCTCCAGCTCCCACAGGCTATTGCAACAATCATGGACTCTTTCCCTCGAACCATTTTCTGAGGGCCATACTCAGTCTCAACCCCCTCCGCTGTGGCCACCTCCAAATCATTTCCACAGTTGGCAATACGCGCACTTTTTCAACATTTTCTAACTGGTTTCCAGGCACATGGCTTGAAACCCCAGTGTTAATAACACGACCTAAAGTATCTTTCTCATATCTCACATCTATTTCAGTATTTTTGATAAACATTCGCTCTCTTTACTCTAAGATCCACAAACTACGCTCGTTTGTTTTGATGAATGATCCTGATATAATATTTATAACTGAATCTTGGTGCCATGATGGCATGTTTGACCCTCAGTTAACTATTTTCGGATTTAACAAGTTTATGAGAAATCGGCCTGGTCGTCGAGGTGGTGGCTTTATAATTTATCTGAAAAAATCGCTCGCAGCAGCAACATTCGACAACCCAGTGTTGAACAATATACAGGAAGCACTCTGGCTTACAATATCTGTTAACCAGCAGCAGCTACTTATGGGATGTATATACAGCGCGCCAAACGGCAGCCAAGAAGACCTAGAACTTTTGACGCTTGCATTTGAATGCGCCGCTAGCTCACCATTTTTACATAAGATTATTTGAGGTGATTTCAATCTGCCTTCGATTTCATGACCCAAAGAACCACTTCTTTGAAATACCAAAAGTTTATCTCCCGTATCCAAATGAATGGTTTGCAGCAACACGTCTCCCAACCTACCAGAGGTGAAAGTACTCTGGATCTCATATTTTTTCATTGGGCATAACTGCAATCAGTGTTAACGTCCTTGATGAATTTCCACGGAGCGATCATCGCGGGATTAAATGCCGCCTAAGACTACGCATGGCCGATATACAACAAAAAATGCATTACCGTCTGTTCAGTTCTGTCAACTGGGACTCTTTCAAGGACCTGGTTTGTTCCATGAATTGGGATAAATTCTTTCTCTCTTCATGTTCTCAACATGCGACGGACCTGTTTTATAGTATAATTAGCTTTTGCATCGATTCAGCAGTACCACTTAAATGTGCTTACAAAACTAAACATAAATCCGATCGCAAGGCGTTGAAGGCAGCACGAAAGTTTCATAAGATTCGGCAGAAATTCAGGCTAACTGATGGCATTGCGCTATTATTACAGCAGTCGAAGCTCTTCGAAGAACAGAGGCATCGGTGTGAGAAAACTCTCCTTCTAGAAGAGTATAAAGCTCTGAACGGCTGTAGCAAAACAGCTGACCTAGCCAAACTATTCCGTGCCCTGGTTTCGGGTTGTAGCGACAATCGCAATTTTATCACCACGCCTGATGGAACATACTACGACGCACCAGGTGATATCTGCGAAGCTTTCAGTGCTTATTTTGCCGAATCAGTGCTCAATGAATCATCAGACACACCAAGACTTATCATACCGCACAACAATGAAGGTCTATGCACAGTGGAATTCACTGTAGCGAACATCACTGGTCAAGTCTCTCGCTTATACTCCTCAACTTGCACAGGCCCTGATGGGATCAACTCATGATTAATAAAAAGCAGTGGTAGTGACTTCCCTCTGCTTTTGCTCAAACTCTTTACACTTTCTTTTAACAACGGAGTATACCCTACTCAATGGACAACTTCAATTGTTTTCCCGCGACATAATAATAATGCCGCCCACGAGGTTAAAAACTTGCGTCCCATCAATCAAACTACCATGGTATCTAGAATACTAGAAACGATAGTGAAAGATGAACTATTTCTGTACCGGAAGAACGCTAACATTATCAGCAATTCGCAACACGGCTTCATGCAAGGTTGATCCTGCGCAACATGTCAGTCTGACATTTTAAAACATACAACGGCTGCCATTGACAACGGAAACAGTGTCGTAATCCTGTTCCTGGATATGCAAAAAGCCTTTGATATAGTGCCTCACAGAAGGTTACTAAACAAACTAAAGGCTATAGGCATTGGAGAACTGATGTTCTCTTAGCTATCTTCATATATAATTGGTAGACAGCAGGTTGTGCGCATAGGCGATCATTTCTCTAAACCGAAAGCAATCACTAGTGGAGTGATTCAAAGGAGTGTTCTTGGTCCACTTCTTTTTCTACTTTATATTAACGATATATGCCAGTGAATAAGAAATGGTGTTGCATTTCTCATTGCTGATGACATTAAAGTTGTCTACTCACAATCACGTGCAAATAATCAGGAAGCCGTGCGTCTCATTCAGTATGACCTATCTGCCCTTGACTCCTGGTGCTAACTGTGGCAGATGTCATTTGCCGTGGAGAAGTGTAGTAGTACAAAGGTTGTAGTACAAATGCCAATTACCGCTAGAACTGTGACTTTCACGTTTTGAAAGCCATGAAGATCATCGGTTTTATCTGCCATCATTTTTACCTCATGGAATCTCGCATATCGCTTTACAAAGCATACGTATTGTCGTGTATGGAATACTGTTCAATGGTACAGTCTAATCTGCGGAAATTTGACCAGGATACTCTTGAGAGGGTCCAGAGACGCTTCGTGAAAGCTATGTGGATATTCCTCAAAGTTGACAAACAGAGAGCGATGTGATAAACTTGGATTTGACCCAGTTTGGCTTAAGGTAATGTAGCTG